CCCAATGCCCGCGTTTTAGTTCCATACTGTCAGGCTGCTCAAGCTGCCTTCTTGGTGCATGTTCCTTGCAGATCTTGTAAATTTATCTTCGATCTAAGTCCGAAAAAGACAAAGTAGTACAACAGAAAACGTCAGTAACGAAAACTTGAGGGTTGGTGGTGCGTGTGGGGGATGGGGGCGGGGAGAAGACAACACTAGATGTCACCCCTCTGGCGCCACCCATCCTTTGAGACAAGGCCTGGAACTCGCCCATGTGCAGTGAGCCCACAGGCCCTGCCTCTCCCCCTGCCCACAGTTTGCACTCTAAGCTCATGCCATTATACCTGGTTGCATTGTTTGACAAATTTAGGTTCCAGGGCTTGGACTCAAGTTGCCCCAACATTTTAGTGGTATTTCCCAGACCAGACTGTCTGGGAACTTTAATTGGGAAAATTTCTTATGTCTAGAGGTCTTACCTGTTGTGAACCATGTGACTTCTGACAAGATGTCCTGCTGCCAATGCTGCCATCAAGGACAACTCCCCAGCCATCACAGTACCACACACAATTCGGGCAAGCTGCCGTGCATTTTCTCCAGGATTGTCTTTGCATGCTCCTTGAACACCTAGCATCTGTAATCAGAGACCAATAAAGATTACTACAAGGCATCAGACCAACTAGATTCCATCAGAAGTGGTAGCCAGGTCAGGCCAGACAGCTGGTATTGACACAGACTGGCACTATGCACTTACTCGCTTAATTAATCTCATGATGAGACACATGCACCCAAACCACGTTTATGTATGTATGTGCATATGTGTATGTGTGTATGTATATATATTTGTGCTATGTACATATATACACATGTATGTACATATAGACATACACACACACATATATTTAGAACCCTTATACATATTTGGACATACTAGGCTAGACTGGTAGAAAGCAAGGGTGGAAAAGATCAGCAAGAATACAGAATAGAGTGATGTGGTGTCAGATAGACACGTATTATCCCTGGTGTGAGGGTCAAACTTGGGTATCAACTTGATGCATCTAGGAAGAGGGAACCTCAAGTGACAAGCAGCCTCCAGCAGTGGCCTGTGTACATGCCCACAGGGTATTTTCTTGACTGCTAATTGATGAAGAACCCACTCCACATTAAAAAAAAAAA